CACGGGGCTGGTCACGGGGGGCACCAGGTGGTGCCCAGGACTTGTTCTCCCAGGAGCCAAAGCAAGGTGGCTGCGAAGCCGCAGTGCTGGTGACTGGCACCCAAATGCCAAAGCGGGGGCACCTGCAGGGACACGTGATCCCACGGCCGGGTGATGCCAGCGCTGGCCTGGGCATTAGGGGAAAGGGAGCAGGAGAGGGTCCCCCTAGGATGGGGGGGTCTGTGACGATCCCACCCCAGGCCCAGGGGCAGCTCCACCATTAGCCCCAGCTGCCAACTGGGACTCGGGGCAGCGGCCCCTGCCCAGGTTAATGTTTAACCCTATCTGGGCACATTAGTCAGAAGCAGAAAGCGCTGGCGGCCCCGGTGTGGCAGTTACTGATCTACTCCGGGGGAGGCCAGGCTGCGTTTGCACTGCTGGAGGTCCCGGCCTCCTCTGGAGCAGGGGGAAGGAGCAAGGAAAGCTACACTTGAATAAAGATCCCACTGCTGCTGTTCCCTTCCCGATGCCTGGAACACCTCGGGCCCAGTAGATCCAATGGGAAAGCAGCTAGGGGGGAAGCATGAGGGCTGCTGTGGCCTCCAGCAGGGAGCTGGCGCCCCCGGCTCCGCTCCCGAGCTGCTCCCTTGTCCTTGCGACAGAGCCGGGAGCTGCCCTCGTTTCCCCAGCCCTTCAGCCAGACCCTGCCCGCGTCCTCCTCCGAGGCTGAAGCTGCCCCCACAGCCAGTGGCCCTCAATAATCCCCTCACCCAGCACCTTTCTAGTCCGCGTCTGAAAGCGGGCGAAGGCTAATGAGCACAACAGCTGCTCAGGGAGATAAGGGGCTTCTTCTGAGGCCCTTTGATTTCCTAATAACTTTTATTTAAATACAATAAATTAAGAGCAATGGCTGGATTTGATGGCAAATGAGTCAGCGATGCCCTAGAGCCTAGGACTTGGCACCAAAAGTTCGAGAAACTGCAAAACTCAACTTGGATCCCAGCACGCCAAGCACAGGGCATGCAGGATGCCAGCGGCTCCGGACCCGCACACGGATCCCACCTGCAGCAAAGTGGAGCTGGTTGCACGCTGGCCGGGGAGAACACAGAAGGGGCCACACGGGGCCGGCTGCTCTTCTGCCCCTGGCCGGGCCCTGCGCTCCATGCGCTGTCCCCGAGCAGGGGGGCCCGGGGCCACGTTGAAGACGCCGCATGGCAGGGCCACGGCCGAGCACTTGGCTGCACACTGCTGCCACGAGGGGTAGAATTCCACCCAGCAACAGCTCAGAACACAAATTAGTCACACCAGCATCTTCAAATTAACAAACTGTAATTTTTCTCCAAAGATACATTTTCCATACACATCCATCATACACTGTAACAAAAAAAAGCAGTGTACATGAAATAAGAAAATAAATTAAATCCATAGCATAGATAAGGAGGATGCTCTAGACTGGAGTAGAGTTGAAAGTTTCCAGCGATACAAGAGGCTCAAAAGTTTGTTTTAATAAGAATGCCTGCTAGCAAGGGTCCAGCGAGTGTTTTAGGTCAGTCCAACTGCTTAACCAGTTTCTTTAGAGTTTATAACAGCCGTTATTCCTGCAACAGGCAGAGCTATTACATCCCGGAGAGAGTCAGAGAGGCATCTCAGGATCCAAGTGGAGCATTCAGAAGAGGACGGAGCCGGTGCTGCAGCGCCTGGGCACGGCGCTAGCCGTCCTCCTTGGGCGGCGTGTACCAGCCTGGAAGGGGCCCAGAGCCGTGAGGGCCGGGGCCGCGCGGAGCCCCAGCACCGCGGACGCTCCCTCAGGCCTTACCGTTTTTCTCATGGATCTGCACCAGGGACTTGTAGGACTGCTGGGCTCTTGTGAGGCTGTACTGGTTCTGCAAGGGAAGCCGGGCTGATGGTGAGCGGCGCTCCCAGGCGCTGCCCGTCCCAAGCAAAACTCCTTGGAATACGGTCAGGAAAAGCAGCCCTAGTGTGGGGTTCTCCTGCCGCCGAACACCCACACACAGCCCCACGGTCACACTGCTGCGGCTGCTCCTACCTTGTTGGCTCCGAATTGCACCCTCGCCTTCCCCTTCACGAGCGTGGCGCTGATCTGCATGATCACCGACTCGATGGAGTACGCGCTGCTCCAGCCCTGCGGGACGGGGCCAGCGCGGTGAGGGCGGCAGCACCGCGGGGCTGGCCGGGAGGGGACACGTGGGGAGGCAGGGCAGTTTTTTTTCAGCTGGCCCAAAAGGGCAGGAACGGGGAGCCCGGGGGAGCGCGGCTGCCACCCGGATCGCTCTGGGTGTCCGCAGGGCAGCGCCCGGTACCCACCTGCTTTGTAAGCAGCTCCATGCAGATGGCACCGCCACCCAGGACATACCTCAGGGAGGGAAGAGGCCACGTTAGGGTGACACTGGCTTTCCCACCCCTGCTCCACAGGGCTTGGGTCAAACCATCCCATGCTGCTGCACCACCCGGCCGGGCGCCTTCCCGCAGCTCCCGTTCTGCCGCCCTTCTCAATCCCTCCCCACCACGGGGTTCTGCTTCCCGTCCCTCCTCCCTCCCCACAAGCAGCTGCCA